TTTGGGATAATCATGTGGGAAGTTTTGTATGGGATAACTGTATCTTATATTGTTGGTAAATCAAAAAATGAAGCCGATCTTCAATTGCGAATATGCTTTGATGATTTACGGCCACCTATTAATAAAGAAGCAACTTCGTGCTATGTTGATTTGATGGGAGAATGTTGGAGCAAGGATCCTAAAAATCGTCCATCTGCAGAAAAACTCCGTGAAATTCTTAAAAAGTGGCAAGATGATGAAAAATCTTATTAGAATTGAACAAATCAAAAATAAAACTTAAAAACATCGAAAAATCATACGCCGATATGATTAGCGAAGGAAGTAAATTTTATCCTCACACAAAATCAACTTATGATAGTAGATTGCAAGATTTGGACATCAATAAATAAAATAATATAGCAAAAAATATTCAGATTATGTTAACTTGTTAAATAAATTAATTTTATAATCATATTAAATTGCGTCATAGTCATGAATTTTTTAAGATCACTTTTTAAATCATTTGCCATCCCTAATTCAGGTCACTAAATGCTACACCCGAATTTCATGAGGTCAGCCCTGGGATAATCCAATATTCGGGGTTGAGTGTATTAGAGATATGATCCTGGTTATTGATCTCTGCCTGTTCAAAACCTAAACCTGTTAAACGCTAGCTTTTTAATCACGTGAATTTATTTATGTAAACTGAAATTCGTTGTATTCGAATTAATATTAAGTTCGAACCCGATTTTACAAGTAGGGTTGTAAACTTACATTATAACTTACATAATAACTTACAAAATTTTGATTAAGTGTATATATAAAATTACTTGTAAGTTACATTGAAAGTTTGAAATTTAATTTAAGTTTACAACCATACTTACATGCAAAAAGCTTCGTGATATTTAATTATTTTAACAACCTTACAGGCTTATTATTAAGACAAATAGGATACAGCGTACTGAAGGGTTAAGTGGAGTGTGCGATCTGGGCATCTGATTGAATAATCATTCCTCATGATTTCAATCTATGATTTCTATACAGTATTTGTATATTATGTGTTAATAAAAAAATGTTGCGTGATCCTAAGACACCATTATATAATATTATTTACGATAACATAATCAAATTTCCTTGTCAAAACATTGATTTAAACACATGACTTTACCGTTTATTGTCATGGCTTTTAAATTTATTATGCGCATCAAGTTATACATCGTTTTTACATGCCGGTTCCTATCATGTTTCCCGACAAGTTAGCCGGTCAATTTTTGCCAGATTTGAATTCTTAATTTCCGAAAATTTCATTTTCAGAAAATCTTACCAGCTTTCTTTAAATCTGGGTTCGGAAATTCACAACTCCAGGTTTTACCTTGACAGGTCTCAGGAAGTATCGTCGGGAAAACGATAGACCCGTTCATACAAACGCCTATTTTCCTTTTTGTTAAACTATTTAACTTCGTTTTTACTTGATTTGGATTTGTGGCTTGTTAATACCGTGAAACTATTGTTTGATTGGTGCTGATCACGTAACATCAAATGTTATATCAGTACATATATTTTATAGTTATATATTACTCGATTTAGTAATGATTATTAATTTTCATCGACTAAATAATAAATTAGGTCGACTTTACATTTAATAATATCAAATACACTGAGGTTACTTTAATATTATCTTTAAGTTCACAAAATAAGAATAGGGTGCTGCTGGAGCCCTAAAACTAGAGATGGGTCGGTATTAACTAAAGTAGTATGATATGAAATATAATTTAATTAAAACTTTCCAAACATTTAAGACGCTAAAGATCCTATCAATAACAACTTGAATAGTAAAATTATCCATTTTATATTCTAAAAATTATAATTCAATAAAAATCGCAAAATTTTCAAAATGTATATTTAAATAACATATTTACCCATCAAAAAACTGTAAGTAAAAGTGAATCCCAAAACTATGTCACAACCATTTTATTTACAGTAATACCGAATCATTTGAATGTATCTTGGTTATATATTTAATAAATTTTAATAAATAAAAATTCTAATTCTATTTTTTGAGTTTTGAAATTTAAAAGTTCACAAAAAGGAAAAAACTTCCCGTAAATCACTATAATCAATCTTTCGTCATCATATATATGTAATTGACATAATCTATTATTACGAACATTTTAATTTAATATCGATATATTTCAAATAATCAGTGTTTGATAATCATGTATATGCAAAATTACGTATTTATCGCTATATCTGATGTACACTCAGTATTCAGTAATTAGTTTACTACGCACAAGTATACAGTAATCGGTAAAAAAGTTCACGCACAAGTATGATCGGTTATGATAACTACAGTATACAGATCGACACGGATCAGCCCGACAAGAAGTTTCGGCTATAGTCGGATGTAACCGGCTATTAGCTGTTAACCCTACCTACAGAATTTGACCCGGCCGGGTTATGAGAACCAATTTATTAGGTTTATATGGCCTAAAATTGATTGAAAATTGGTTAATAAACAGCAAAATAAGAAATTAATAATAATTTTCAAAATTTTCGATTAATGAATGAATGTTACTTATTGTTATTGGCTTATTGTTTATCGACCAAATTACAAATAATAAACTATTAAAACTAATGAGAGGTGTATACGCTGTTTTCAAATGCATCGATTGATAAATTATTTTGTTAAATTAACCTAAATAAGAAATTTAATAATAAGAGACCTACTGAAAAATCATCACATACTGCGTAAATCAATAAAAGAGAGGTAATAAATTTTAAATCTCAAAATTCTGCTCATAATTAAAATTTCGGTTTCAAAAGTCTGTATATTATGATGACCAAATTGTATAGTATGCAAGAGATAAAAGAGATTACGGAAAGATCGGTATGGTAAATCGATCTGTATGGGGCGGGACACGGAAATTATATGATTTAATGTGAATAAACCAAATCGCACTAAATCGCATAATTTTACATCATTTATATTATATCAATGCCACATTTATTCATTATCAGCCTGTATATTTAACTATTATAAAACTGATCAATAGTATGTTAAAATGTAAAATAAAATATTTTTTAATAGTATGTTAAAATGCGAGTAAATTAAATACTGTACCGTTTTTAGTAGTAAGTTAAAGTGTAAAAAATGACATTAAACCCTAAAATAAATACATTCGTCTTTAAGAAAAAAATTTTATTATTTTTTTTGTATGGATCCAGAAAGAATTACATTGAGCATTAAATCGCTTGAATTTAACTTATGTGTAGATTTTTTGTCAATAGTTGATTTTTTATTATTCCAATATAAACCCGTATTTCAATTAACGAAGTATAAAAATTAAGTTTTTTAGTTGAGCAAAAGTTGCAAAATTTTTTTTGAAATAAAACTTACGAATCATCTAGCTCTTCGGAAATCACATCACAATTTTCGGATCGAAGAGTTAGATGATTCATAAGACGAATCGGGTTTTCAAGTGTCCACTAATTTATACCGCACAAATACCGATACTGTAATAATAAATTCGGGTTCGGTCAGTTACGGCTATATAGCCGGCTATAACAGGATTTTCCGTCTTACGGGCTGATCCGTGTCGATCTGTTTATTTATATCGGATTTTTTTTAAAAAAAAAACGCTGATTGGTCCGATATCATGTCGGCTATAACCGCTAACCGAGCCCATTCCTATTCATTACAATTAAAATAAGGTATGTCTAATACAACGAAATCGCCTTTTAAATCTTATACGTACACTGTTTTAAGTATAGTACACTTCCGAAACAAGTATTCATGGCCTGCACTATGACTATCTTGGCCAGCATTACATGCTTAATTCGGAAGTTATAATATGTTATGAAAATAAATCCTTTCAGGACACTTTATTTTATCACCCTTGAAATTTAATAATTGATAAACACGAAATAAGTATTTGAAATAGGTGTGTTGATGTTTTTATATTTGCAATGGCGTTTAGTAGACCACTTAGAATCGATAAAAACTGCTATAGTGTTACTGTATTATTATTAAGGTCTTTATTATGATCTATCGTTACAATTATTAGCAAGCCACGATAAGAGTGATACTTGAGCAAATCAAATTTCAATAATACCACTATTCGTACAATTAATTTTATCAATAATGTTATAGGATAACCAACACTATTCAATCACTATAGAATCGCATCCAAGGGGTGCTTTAGTGTACCCCTAGCTTCATAGCTAACATTGGATAGGTGTCAGAAAGGGTTGGTAATTTTGATATCTAATGTGTCGAAAAAATTAATGAAGCTTCTCCATTAAACCATTACCAATCCTACATTCAATCGATATAAAATTAGGTTCACTTTGTGTATAATTATTATTATAATTTCTAACGCTAGAATTAGATATAATCAAGTTACAATTCCCTTATAGAGACAAGTAAAACAAGTTATTTCCTAAATTATTGGAAGCGTATAAATAAATATAGTACTTTATTGAAGTCGATAATTTAAAAAATATTTGATTTCAAATGCGCTGTACTTTATACTTAATTATAAATTATGTAAATCGAGTAGTACATTGAAATAAAATTTTTCTTAAATTATCGACTTCAATAAAGTAATTATGTACTGTACACACTTTATTGATGCTAATAATTAAGGAAATAACATTGTGATTTTTAGATTTCTTGCACTGTACGTGCTTATTTTTTTTAAAAGTATAATATAAAAATAGTTGTACTACGTATTTCATATGCTTACGTAATATCCTAATTTGTTGATAAGTGTTACAATACGCATGTGACACAACGTAATACATATCAATAAATAATAAATTTCGATGCTTCAAACGTGCAACACATTCTTTGTTACGTTAAAATGTCAATTTATAATAATCTAATTAAAAAGCAGTCAGAAAAAATTGGCAGTTCACCAGATATTATTCAAATACCCAATAGTGTAACTCAATTATATTTTGAAGATAACAAGTCGCAAGATATTTCTCAGAATTTTTTTAATGAAATTGTTAAAGAAATGTGTAATCTGTATAATGATGAAAAATTAAAAGGAAAAGATTCCTGTTCAGTACTTGATACATTAGAACAATTTTTAATAAATAAGAAACAAAATCCAGTTAATATTATCAATTTTTGCTTAAACGATCCAATCAATCCTACGGTTCAAATCATTCTTGCGTGTTGTTATTGTTATGGTAAATGGATTGAAAAAGATGAAAATAAAGCATTTATTTACTATCAAAAATCTGCAGAAATGGGTGACGCTATTGGAATAAATAACGTTGGATATTGTTATAATGAAGGAATTGGTGTTGAAAAGGACGAAAATAAAGCTTTCATTTATTATCAAAAATCTGCAGAAATGGGTTACGCTGGAGGGATACATAATGTTGGATATTGTTATGAAAATGAAATTGGTGTTGAAAAAGATGAACGAAAAGCTTTCAATTATTATCTAAAATCTTCAGAACTGGGAGGTGCTGCTGGAACATATATGGTCGGATATTGTTATCTTTATGGAATTGGAATTGAGAAAGATGACCATAAGGCATTCACTCATTATCTAAAATCTGCAGAGATGGGTGATGCTGATGGAACATATCAAGTTGGATATTGTTATCGAAATGGAATTGGCGTCGGAAAGGATGCAGAAAAAGCATTTATTTATTACCAAAAATCCGCAGAGATGGGCGATGCTATTGGAACATATATGGTTGGATATTGTTATTTCAATGAAATTGGAGTTGAAAAAGATGTGGACAAGGCATTCATCTATTATCAAAAATCTGAAGAAATGGGATACGCTAAAGGGACGTATAAAGTTGGATATTGTTATCGAAATGGAATTGGAGTTGAATATAATGACCATAAGGCATTCATCTATTATAAAAAATCTGCAGAAATGGGTTACGCTAAAGGGACATATAAGGTTGGATATTGTTACCAAAATGGTGTTGGAGTTGAAAAGGATGAACATAAGGCATTCATTTATTATCAAAAATCAGCAGAGATGAGGTATGTTGATGGAATGTCAAAAGTTGGATATTGTTATCTTTCTGGGATTGGGGTTGAAAAAGATGAATATAAGGCATATATTTATTATCAAAAATCTGTAGAGATGGTTAACGCATAATGTTATGAATAAGAGATCTGGTAGATTCAAATACTAATCTAAAGGTAAATTGTGTTTAAATTTGTGCGCTGTATTGTGACATACACTGTCATATTATGATATCAGATATAATTAAAGATAAAAAATTTATTAATTTGGGTCAGGGTTAAAATAGAATTAAAGAAGAGCAGTAACCTAAAATTTTCAAAATTTATTAAAAAAGGTGAATTTTATAAGCTAAATTTCGAGCTACAGACGATTTTGGGTTAAACCTGATATTAATTAGGGTAATATATATATCGATCATTATTTGCAGGTTTTTAAAGACATCGTCTAATAGTAAAAAAATGAATTTTTTTAGATACTTTTTTTTTTTTTTAGCAAACTGACTTTATTAATATAAATAATACAAAAACTAAATTGTACATATAAGCTCGGGCTACAATCAAATAATGCGATTTTTAGATAATTATATTTTTATAATTCAAAAATAGATTTGAAAATATTTTATTTTTTAATACATCAATCATTGTAAATAAAATTTAAATTTGCAATTTTAAAAGAAAAATGGCTCTATTTGATTAAAGAAAATCCTTTTATTTGCATTTTTTTAAAAAGGAGCTCTATAATAAATCTCATTTTCTCAAAAAAACGTACCTTTATAAATAAATATAAATACAACTATTATGAAATTGGATTATAATACACCAATAAATTTTACATAATCATAATAAAATTTATATAAACATTTTAGGTAGGTGTACGTTGTTAATTTTTTACCCAAAATTCCAGGTCGAGATACGTTAGGGATGATCAACGAGAATCCTTTAAAATTTAAAGATTTTTAAAACTTTAAGCCAATATTTCTCGGTGAATATTAAAAGAATTAAAATAAAATAAAAATTTATCAGATTTAGTCGTAAAGAAAACATCATTTAAAATTTATAAAAAAAATTAAGCAAAAAGCCGCGTTTTTTCAATTTTAGCGAAGATTTCTCAATATTTATCTAACCCAATTTAATGAAAGCTTTTTATTTTAATTCTAATGACTCATAGAATTAATATAAAAACTTTATCGAATTTAATTAGGCAATCGGTAAGAAAGCTTCATTTAAATTTTAATTAAAATTTTACCGCAGCTTCTTTTTTATAGATACTAAGACTTTAAGCAAAGTTTCTCGGTAGATATATAACTAAATACGATAAATTTTTTTACTTTAAATATATATAATTGTAAAATTAAAATAAAAAAATTCATAGAATTTGGCCAGATATTCATCAGAAAACCTTCGCTTAAAATTTCAGTATCCATAAAAAAAAGCAACGGCAAATTATTTTTAAACATTAGTTAAATAAAAATACACATTCATGTTTAATATTTTTTTATTTTTATTTTGCAAATACGTAGAATTAAAATAAACCAATTTTATTCAATTTATTCATATTTATCTAGAAATTTCAGTTTAAAACTTAAAAATTTTTAAGTTCAAGTTAAAAAAGAATAAAAATTTGTAACTAATACTAAAAATGTGTAATGATTGATTATGGCTCAAAATATATATTCCAATTATTTTTTAATTTATATTAATTATTAATTAATATACATCAATTTTAGTGGTTAAAAAAATGAGAATATTCTTAATACAAATATGAAATATGATATAATAGACTACAAATAGTAATAATTAATAACAATAGTAAAATAATAAATTTAGTAATTATAAAGTAAAGGGGTATTATGACGCAAGTAACTTTCGCAGCCAATATCACGTGCTTGATGATCAGAATCGAACAAGTCATCGAATGACACCAAAATCGTTTGATTCCAACCACTAGATCACTCGATATTGCAAATTAAAATAAAGCTAAAAAATTAATAAACTATTATACATGTACCAATTGCGTGGTATCTCGTGATATAGCGATTAGAATCGAACGATTTTGGTACCATTCTATTCGTCCAAATGAGACGAGTTGAATGGCACCAGAATCGTTCGATTCTGATCACGAGATCACAAGTTACAAGCAATTAGAGATTAATTTTTAAAGACTAAAAAAAAATATCGTCAACGAATTGTTTATTAAGTAAATCGCCATTCATTATTAAAACAATTTTATTCATCGTTATAAGTTTTACTTACCTCTAAATTTTTATAAAAATCGGATAATTTTTTATCAATTGATTTTTATAAAATACGTTTTTATACCAAAAGAATCTATTATGATGCATGTAAGTTTTTTACAAATGACAATAAATAAAAAATTATAAGGCAAGTAGAATTTATTATGAACAAAATTTTTTAATAATTAAGGTCGATTTGCTTAATAAAAAAAGCTGCTATTAACATATTACGATTAGTTTTATTAAAACGTGTAATTAAAATTTCGTTTATTTTATTTAAACGTCAATATCTCATGATCTAGCGACCAGAATCGGGTAATTTTACCATTATTCAATTCGTCTCGATGAGACGAATCGAATGGTAGTAAAATTATTTGATTTTGATCACTGGAACACAAGTTATCACGTGCGTATCATAATTAGTACTACATCATGATTAGTGCTTCTACAA